TTTTTCTTTCACCTCTCACTCTTTTTCTTTCTTTTTGCTTTATTTATTTCTTCCTTTCTCTCTCTCTCTCTCTCTCTCTCTCTCTCTCTGTGTGTGTGTGTGTCAGTCTGTTTGTCTGTCTGTCTGTGTGTGTGTGTGTGTGTCAGTGGTGGGTTTCAAAAAATTTTGTAACCTCTTCTGTAAGTGTGGCCTGCTTTCCGGGTCCACTGGTGGAACCTCTTCTAACCGGTTTGGTAGATTTGACGAACCGGTTCTACCGAACTGGTGCGAATTGGTAGGAACCCACCTCTGGCCCCAAAACACTGGAAAAAAAAAACCAATGCATGTGAAAATATGTAAAATAAAATTAAAAACTAACAAAGCATTCACCATTTCCCAGTGATATCGCTTCTCGGTGATTCCATCTCCTAATTTCAGGAAACGGTTGAAGAATTGGCTCAGGATATCCTTTCCAAGCTCCCCGGTGATTTTGACCTCGAACACGTGATGAAATTGTATCCAGTGCTGTATGAGGAATCCATGAACACAGTACTCAGGCAGGAACTGATCAGGTTTAACAGGTAAAACTCTGCATGACATGCATACATAAACGGGAGGGTGTCAGGACGTAGTCTTAAGACATTTCAGACAACCAGCACAAGTGTGTGTAATTGTGGCATTTGGGTACCTAAAGTGGTACTTCCCCATCCACAGATAAAATGATAACTGGTACAGAGTTATGTCCAAGCTGCCTGCGATTTAGTAGCTGCTAATCAACCCTATCAAGGGATCAACAAGGGGGCTGCTCATGTCACCCCAAAACTTTTGACTGTGCCTTTACCTGAAAGACTTCAGAGGTTCAGAGGTTTATACATATTATTAGCAGAATGCAATTATTTCTCAGCTTGCTTTTCTTTAGAAATGATGGATTTAGTGCAGTGGTTCTCAAACTTAAAGGCATGTGGATTTCAAACGCTGGCTGGGGAATTCTGGGAATTGAAGTTTGCACATCTTCAAGGTGGCTAGGGAATTCTGGGAATTGAAGTCCGTGCATTTTCAAATTGGCTGGGGAAATTCTGGGAATTGAAGTCTGCACATCTTCAAGCTGGCTGGAGAATTCTGGGAATTGAAGTCCACACATAATCAAGTTGGCAGGGGAAATTCAGCATTGCCAAAAAGGCACTAAGAGTTGTTAACCTAATCTCGCAAAGCTTCTTCTCCCGTAACATTGTACTGCAAACTCAGGCATACAAAACCTTTGCCAGACCAATCCTCCAATACAGCTCGTCTGCCTGGAATCCACACTGTATAGTGGACATTAATACAATTGAGAGGGTCCAGAGATATTTCACGAGAAGAGTCTTCCACTCCTCTGATCACAATAGAATCCCTTATGTCACCAGGATTGAAATTTTGGGTTGGACAACCTGGAACTATGCCACCT